CCTCAGCAACTCAGCAATGCCTCCTTCATATCCACCAGCACAGTTGAGCTGCACTTAGGAATGAATTGTGGTTCAAAGGAAATGCTGGCTTTGGTTCTCTTGTGAAAGCCACAGAGAGGCTGAAGGTGCTTTTGTAGAAATCTTTTCTTTGCCACCCTCATCTCTGTGGCCCAAACTGAACTGGTCCCACAGCAGTTATTCAAACTCAGTCAGACAATGCTTGGATGGGCAGTGTGGACAGTCAGACAACTTTTTAAATAAGAGTCTGTGATTATTTTACCTGGGTATCAGTCCCAAACCAAAAAGAGTGCAATTAATCCTATTTCATTCAAACTTTACCAGCAGCATAGTGAATTGTCTCAGTTTGCTCTAGGCATTCTCTGGGGAGACCTTGCTGTGGCCTCCCATATCTTAGAGAGTACTGGGTACTCATGGTACTTGTGAAAAGCAGGGAGAGGGACTGTGTTATATGGAGAGAGACTGACAGGACCAGGGCAGTGGCTTTAAACTGAGCAAGGACAGGATTAGATGGGATACTAGGAAGAATTTCTTTACTCAGAGGGTGGTGAAGCCCTGGCACAGGTTGTCCAGAGAAGCTGTGGCTGCCCCATCCCTGGCAGTGTCCAAGGCCAGGTTGGACAGGGCTTGGAGCAACCTGGGACAGTGAGAGGTGTCCCTGCCTTGGGGTCAGTACAGGATGATCTTTAAGGTCCCTTCCAACCCAAACCATTCTGGGATTCAATGATTCTGTTATTACAGCCCAGCAAAATCTGCTGCACGTTCCACACTTCCAGAGAACCACAAAAAGCAGACAACATCCCATCTGTGGGCACTGGGGCAGAACCCACGAAATGAGAGATGGCAGCAACCACTGGGAACTGAGATCCCCTCAGTGCCAGGGGTCACCCACATGCTGCCATGGTGGGCAAGGCTGAGGCAGCAGGGAGGGAGCAGGGGGTGCAGCAGCAGTGCAGGAGGGGGTGCAGCAGCAGTGCAGGAGGGGGTGCAGCAGGGCAGGAACAGAGGGGCAGTGGGGGTGTCACAGACATCTTTCCATGAAAAATCCTTTCCTTAGGATTTTTCCTCCTGAGAAGCTGAGAAGCCTCAGGAACAAAATGTAAACAATGGTTATCTGCTGCTGTGGGATGCAACAGGTGCATCTGGGATTGGTCTCATAAAGTTGTTTCTAATTAATGGCCAATCACAGTCAGCTGGCTCGGGCTCTCTGTCTCAGACACAAGGTTTTGTTATCATTCCTTTCTATTCTTAGCTGGCCTTCTGATGAAATCCTTTCTTCTATTCTTTTAGTATAGTTTTAATGTAATATATATCATAAAATAATAAATCAGCCTTCTGATGAAATCCTTTCTTCTAATCTTTTAGCATAGTTTTAATGTAATATATATCATAAAATAATAAATCAGCCTTCTGAAACATGGAGTCAGATCCTCATCTCTTCCCTCATCCAAGAATCCCTGTGAACACCGTCACACAGGGGCTGCAGCAGGGAATGCAGGAGGGAAGGAGCAGGGGATGCAGCAGGAGATGCAGCACAGAGGGAGCAGGGGCTGCAGGAGGGGTTGCAGTAGGGGTGCAGCAGAGAGGGAGCAGGGGTGCAGCAGGGAATGCAGCAGGAAGGGTGCAGCAGGAAGAGTGCAAGATGGGGTGCAGCAGAGAAGGAGCAGGGGTGCAGCAGGGGGTGCAGCAGGCAATGCAGCAGGAAGGGTGCAGCAGGGAATGCAGCAGGAAGGGTGCAGCAGGGAATGCAGCAGGAAGGATGCAGCAGGCAATGCAGCAGGGAATGCAGCAGGCAATGCAGCAGGAAGGCTGCAGCAGGCAATGCAGCAGGAAGGGTGCAGCAGGAAGGGTGCAGCAGGGGGTGCAGCAGGCAATGCAGCAGGCAATGCAGCAGGCAATGCAGCAGGCAATGCAGCAGGCAATGCAGCAGGCAGGCTGCAGCAGGCAATGCAGCAGGCAGGCTGCAGCAGGCAATGCAGCAGGCAATGCAGCAGCAGGAAGGGTGCAGCAGGAAGGCTGCAGCAGGGAATGCAGCAGGCAATGCAGCAGGGAATGCAGCAGGCAATGCAGCAGGCAGGCTGCAGCAGGCAATGCAGCAGGCAATGCAGCAGGCAATGCAGCAGGCAATGCAGCAGGTAGGATGCAGCAGGGAATGCAGCAGGGAATGCAGCAGGTAGGATGCAGCAGGGAATGCAGCAGGGAATGCAGCAGGTAGGATGCNGTAATTCAACAGGAAACACACACAGCCTCGGTAATTCAACAGGGAAACACACACAGCCTCAGCAACTCAACAGGGAAACACACACAGCCTCGGTAACTCAACAGGGAAACACACACAACCTCAGTAATTCAACAGGAAACACACACAGCCTCAGTAATTCTACAGGGAAACACACACAGCCTCAGTAATTCAACAGGGAAACACACACAGCCTCGGTAATTCAACAGGGAAACACACACAGCCTCGGTAATTCAACAGGGAAACACACACAGCCTCAGTGATTCAACAGGGAAACACACACAGCCTTGGTAATTCAACAGGAAACACACACAGCCTCAGTAATTCAACAGCGAAACACAAAATCTCAGTAATTCAACAGGAAACACACACAGCCTCAGTGATTCAACAGGAAACACACACAGTCTTGGTAATTCAACAGGGAAACACACACAGCCTCAGCAACTCAACAGGGAAACACAACCTCAGTAATTCAACAGGGAAACACACACAGCCTCGGCAACTCAACAGGGAAACACACACAGCCTCAGTGATTCAACAGGGAAACACACACAGCCTCGGTAATTCAACAGGGAAACACACACAGCCTCAGTAACTCAACAGGGAAACACACACAGCCTCGGTAATTCAACAGGAAACACACACAGCCTCAGTGATTCAACAGGGAAACACACACAGCCTCAGTGATTCAACAGGGAAACACACACAGCCTCAG